TTCTCAATAGCCAAAGGATCCTTACCCTTTGACAAGAGAATCACTGCAGACTGCCTCATGGAGGGAGAGAGGGACCCCTCATCCAGACAGCAGTTGTAAACCTCCACGAGGCGAGACGCCAAGCTGGACTTAAAGGTTTTAAAAAAAACTCAGCTGTCAGGCCATCTGGCCCAGGAGTCTTCTTAATGGCCAGACTATCTATGGCTTTGACCACCTTTTCTGCAGTAATCTCCCCAGTCAAACTCGCAGGCGGAACATTACCGTCCAGACCCGATGTAGACTCCAAAAAGCTCAACATCCTTGTCCGGTCGAAGCACTTCTCACCCAGCAATTCCTCATAAAAGGACCTGGAGACCTCCAGGATCCCTGACCTGGATCTTGTCAGGGACCCCGTACTATCCCTTAGGGCAGAGACCATCTTAATCGCTGCACTCTGTTTGAAATTCTGGAAAGGGTCGGGCGAGTGGTACTTCCCATAATCTCTCTCCAGAACCAAAGAGGTACGCTGGTCATACTGGTACTTCCTGAGGAGAAGCTTGGCCTCCGAGATTGCCCCAGAATCTCCACCGCTAGAAACAAGGCGGTCGAGCTTCCTCCGCAACCGTTGGTAGGCGATGTACTTATCAAACTGGTAAAAACCTCCTTTTACCAATGGCCTTGAAAAACCTGCCAATCCGCACCTTGGTAAGTTCCCACCACTCCGACTTACTGTCGCAGAGATCCAGCACAGTCTCCTGAGCCTGAAAGAACTCCTTGAAGGATTGTCTCACCTCCTCGTCCTCCAGCAGAGATGAATTCAACCCCCAGATGCCCTTCCCTCTCAGCGGCGTGTCTGAAACATTCAAAGTCACGGTAAACATAAGGTGGTCAGAAAACTCCACCGACCGACACTCAGGTGCCGAGAAGGCAGAGTCCTCCTTCAGAAAAAAACCTGTCTATCCTACTCTGACTATTACCTCTCCTAAACGTGAAATCAATGCTGTCTGGGCTGCTCTTAACCAAGGCATCCACCAGACCTGCTTCCCTGATATGGCATTTAGAAAAACGCTGTCATATCCCAGCCTGTCATTGAAGCCCCTCCTGTCCTTGGGCCTAGTTATGGTATTAAAGTCACCTCCAAAGACCACCAGCCGGGACGTAAAAAGGAAAGTCTTGATCCTTGTGAAGAGGTGCTTCCTGTCCCACTTGGACTGCAGTCTATATATATTGATTAGGCACAGTTCCTGCCCCCCACAAGGACATCCAAGATCAAACATCTTCCAATCTCCACCTCAATAGCCCGCTGGCACGTTACCATACCGGTAAAAAGCACCGCAACTCCGCTGTAAGGCTCAGCCGCAAGAGACCAGTAGGATGGCCCACGCCTCCACTCCCGCTTGGCCAGATGTATATCCGCCAGGCTGGACAACCTGGTCTCCTGCAAAAAGAAAATATAAGCATCCATACCACTGATCAAAAATAAGGCTGTCTCTCTAGCACTCACAGACTTTATGCTGGCAACATTAATAGTTGCCACCTTTATTGGAGCAGGAACTGCCATTAAGATAATTGAGAGTGGCGTTTCTTAACCCTCTTCTTGACTTTTTTTGAAGGGTCTCCTGACCTCTTTAGAGACCCTCCTGCCTCCTCATCCTCCATCGGGGAAACAGGATCCTCAGATACCCCCTCCTCCTCCCCCGACAGAGCCCCAAACATGTTACCAAGGGCCACCTCTCCCACCTCCAGAGAGGAGATAGACCCTGCAGGAGAGAGGACCGGCCTGTTACGCCTCCCCACCACCACCACCCCTCCTCCACCTGGACTCCACCATGCCTTTCCTGGGCGGGACCCTGGGCATCCCAGGGACTTTCCTTAGGGACCTTATCCCGCCAAAGACGAAGGAGAACCGGGGGGACAGGTACAGTAGGCCCAGAGTTAACCTCCACCACCCCCGCCCCTTTGGCAGCTTCCACCAACTTCTTCCCTCTCCTGGGAAGGGGGACAGGCACAGCAGGGGAGACTACTGGGGACTGGACCAGGGCAGACTCAACAGGGGAGACAGACACGGAAGGGGCAACAGAAACTTCCCCTACCTCCACTGAAGCTGCCGCAGAGGCCAAATTGGCCTTTTCCGCCACTATTGCAGCCTCCTCGGCCTCAATCCTGTCCAGCTTCGCCACCAACTCACCCTCAGGCAAATTATGGAGAGCCTCAGGGCACTGTTATAGGAATGGCCAAGGACACCGCAAAGATTGCAGCGTATGATATTGCAATCCCTGGCCAGGTGGCAAATCTCCTGGCACAGGAAGCAACGGATCACCAGGCACGTGGCAGTAAAGGGGCGGGACCAGATGAGACCAGGACTGACGAGACAGAGGGAACAGAAACACCCACCCCCTGGTCCGCGGGAGGGGCCTGCACGCCAGACATGCCTGCTGATACATTACCCACCGCCCCAGAGTCCATGGCGTACCAGATGCAACAGAGTCCCGCACAGTGTCCCCGACCAGCGGATCTCCCGCCTTTGCCAATAGTTCACTCTCCATAGAGCTGGGAATGCACTGCAACTTGACATATGCCGACTGCTCCTTCAGGACCGGCTTTGCTGGCTTGCGCGGCATCACATCATCCACTTCCTCCTCCGAATCTTCCGATGTGAACTGGAAGCGGTCCTCACGCAACCCCGGCTCCACTTCCACTGTGAAACAAAGCATTCCAGCCGACTCCGCCTCCTCCACCTGCGTTCCCCAATCAGCAGACCGCTGCCCGAGGGGGAGGGAATCCGAAACTCCCGCGTCAACGGTGTCTCCCTTAACAGGAGCCACCATTTGCAGGGAAGATGCAGCGGGCTCAGCCTGCCCCTGCACCGGTTCACCTCCTTTCACCACTGGAGCATCCGATAACTCCTCCATGGAGGAAACCTCCTCCACCGTGCCCCTCACCGCAGCCACGCTCCTGCTCCTCGCAGCTTTAAAGCGGGCATCATTCTGGAACTTCTCCCGCAACACGCCACTCTTCCTCTTTAGGGCCACCACGTATTTCCCCTGGAGGGACACCTGCTTCTCCGACGCCTCCAGGTCCAGCTTTATTGTCTGGCGCTTGGTGCTCCAGACCCTGTCATATGATAAGCGGAACTTTTTGAGCTCCAAGCTCAGCTTTCCCAGCCTCGCCTCCTCCTTCTCAATTGTTTGGATCCTGGCAGCCACCCGGTTACGATACGCACCATAATCCTTCCCTTTCTTAGGGGCTGTTCCCAGGTCCTCTACGGATGGGAAGCCAGGACCGGTGCTAGGCCCCTCCGGGGGTCTCCCACTGCTGGACTCAGGCCCAGGATCCGCCATCCTCCCTGGGCTTGAGCAGGGCACTTTAGCCCCAGGCTTCTCGGTCGTTCCTGGAGCTCAGCAGAGCAACGTCCAGCACACCCTCTCCACACAGAGTCAGGAATGGATTCACCTTAAGTGGTGGGACTCATCTGCCATGTGGGCTGCAGTACCAGGGCTGGCCAGCGGGTGCTCTCAGCAACCAGAAGCTCACTCCTGCAATCAGCCATCACCTGAGGCTGATTACAGGAGGTGTATTTAAGGAATGGCCAGACCTGCAGTCAGTGCCTTGGTGTATGTTTCCCATGAGCCCCTGTACCTGCATCCTGTCTGCTTCCTGCCTGATCCTGACTCTGAACGAACTCCGCCTGTCCTGACCTCGGCTATTCCTGACCACTCTTCTGCTTGCTCCTGGTACCCTGTTTTCCCCGTTTACTACCGACCCGGCCTGCCCGACAACGTTTGATTGTATATATATGGTTATCTGTTGGAGGTTGGGTTGTTTGCACTGTATTATGTTTACCTTGCACTGCGTTTGTGTTGTTTAGTCTTAATAAATTGTCTTATTTACACTGTACCTGAAGCCTACATTTCCCTGTGTCAGTCCACACACCTCTGGTCATACCGGGAGCCCTGACATTAGACCAAGGCCATTCCTGACCAGAAGTGGCTGCACAGGGAAGCCATCTTGGCTTGTTGTTGTGAAGGATGCATCCGGAGGAGGTTATATACTTGTATCTGCTAGTCTTAGATGACAGAGAATATGCCTATCAGACTCTGCAGGAGTATACCAGGGATCAGCTGCTAGAATGCATACGGGTCGCTCATTCCCTAGTAGATCAGGGCACGGAGTTCTCTGAGGAGCAACCATTGATTCAGGCTTGTGTTGAGTTGGCTTCATCTAGTACCCCTGAAAGCAGGGATGACTTTCTTCCACCATTCAGTGTGGATCACATAGAATCACTGGTATGGTTGTTGGAAGATGATCCTAAGTGTTTCTGGAAACATTATTCAGCATGTTCACCACATATGCTAGTGGAGTGTATAAACGCAGTGTAGTCTTTGGTCAGACAGGCTATGTGTAAGCTGAGTTTTGTTCAAACAATACTACAGTCCTGGTCAGACTTGTTACACCCAGCCTCAGTCAGCTTGCAACAAACCTGTCCTGCTTCTAATCATTCCTCTGCTTAAAGCACTATTCCTGCATTCCTGACAGCACCCCCAGTTACAGCCCAATATACCCTGCTATCTACCACATGTCAGTACCCTGTTCCCACTCGCTGCACCTATCCTGCCTTTAACCCTGTAAAAAAGGCCGCTGTAGCAACTATTCCCTCCTCTGTTCCATCCTCCAGCTCTTCTCTGTCCCCAGCTACTCCATCCATTTACAGACCTGCATTTACTTGCAGTGCCCCAGTAACTAAACCCAAGAAGAAGCGAAAATTCTTTCCAACCAGTACCATCCTACCAGTATCCAAACCGGTCAGCCTGCTGTCTGAGAACCTGCCTTCCGTTGTTCAACCTGATGCCCTGATGCCTGATGACCCAGTGTACGCTACCCAGCCTGATGACCCGATCCGGCCTGATGGCCCGATCTGGCCTGATGGCCTGATCCGGCCTGATGACCTGGTGTTCATGATCCAGCCTGATAGCCCGATCCAGCCTGATGGCCTGATCCAGCCTGATGACCCGATCCAGCCTGATGACCCGGTGTTCGTGATCCAGCCTGATGACCCGATCCAGCCTGATGGCTCAGTGCCTCGGTGCCCGTGGTCCAGCCTGGTGACTCGGTGCCCGCTGTTCTACCAGATGACTCGGTGCCCGCTGTCGTGCCAGATGACTTGGTGCCTGCTGTTGTGCCAGATGACTCGGTGCCCGCTGTCGTGCCTGATGCTTCGGTGCCCGCTGTCGAGCTTGGTGAACCGGTGCCCACTGTTCTGCCGCTGTCGAGCTTGGTAAACCGGTGCCCGCTGTCGTGCCAGATGACTCGGTGCCCGCTGACGTGACGTGCCAGATGACTCCGTGCCTGCTGTCGTGCCTGATGCCTTGGTGCCCGCTGTCGAGCTTGGTGAACCGGTGCCTGCTGTCGTGCCAGATGACTCGGTGCCCGCTGTTCTGCCAGATGACTCGGTGCCCGCTGTTCTGCCAGATGACTCGGTGCCTGCTGCTCCGCCTGATGGCCCGGTGCCTGCTGCTCCGCCTGATGGCCCAGTGCCTGCTGCCGCCTTATGTGCCTCTGTCCGCTGCCCCCCGCCTGATGTGCCTCTGTCCGCTGCCCCGCCTGATGTGCCTCTGTCCGCTGCCCCGCCTGATGTGCCTCTGTCCACTGCCTCGCCTGATGTGAGTCTGTCCGCTGCCCCGCCTGATGTGCCTCTGTCCGCTGCCCAGCCTGATGTGCCTCTGTCCGCTGCTCAAACTGATGTGCCTTTGTCCGCTGCCCAGCCTGATGTGCCTCTTTCCGCTGCCCAGCCTGATGTGCCTCTGTCCGCTGCCCAGCCTGATGTGCCTCTGTCCGCTGCCAAGCCTGATGTGCCTCTGTCCGCTGCCCAGCCTGATGTGCCTCTGTCCGCTGCCCAGCCTGATGTGCCTCTGTCCGCTGCCCAGCCTGATGTGCCTCCGCTCGCTGCCCAGCCTGATGTGCCAGCCCCTGATGTCCAGCTAAACTGGCCAATAACTAATTTGCAGCCTGCTCCTGGAGATCCTGTGTCCAGTAACCTGCCTTCCTGGGTTCTCCTACACAAGAAGAAGTCTACCAGCAGGAAACCCAGCCAGCCGGTTGACTCCGGGAGTAGGATATCCAGCCAGTTACCTGACCCAGGCGGTGGAACATTTTGCCCACTAAAGACTGTTTGGAGCGTCCTGAGGCCGCTCCTTGAGGGGGGGGGTAATGTCAGGGATAGAGATTTTTTTATTATGTATTGATGTCATACATATCCATCAGACTTATGTATAAACGTATAAATATAAATAAATAAATAAATACAAAACTCAACAGAAAGGAAACTAAGAAGTCCCAACAGTCCCTGGGGAAAAAAACCTCAAACATAGCCTGAACGGCTCATAAATAAAAGTCCATAACCTGAAAGGAAAAAAACAGAAAATATATACAATATTTACAGTACAAGGCCTTTATGGCCGAGACCACATGAGTAAGAGCCTTTATGGCTCAGACAAAAACATAAACCATATGCAATTTCCATATTCAAACCTGCCGCTTACGGCCTATATGGCCTAAACTATATACAAAGGACCTAACCATACTATTATATACACCACAGGGGAGAGCTAAGGAACCCGCAGATCTTCCACGTCTGACCCCCTACAACCTACCATGCAAAAGGCTGCCAAAAAGATCCGAACGCAAAAATCTAGGGAGTGCTGAAGGCAAAAACTAGGGACAGATCCCACCACCCGAGATCAACAGACTGCAGCAACAGGCTTGATGTTCCTCCACGCCTCCATCCAAGCTCTGCGTCGCAGCCTGTCTTTCTCAGGACCCCGAATTTTCCCCACCTCACCAAGGATGTCACTTGCCACCACCTGAACAGGGAGGACCTTCTGCCGAATGGAGACCTGACACCGTGCCATCCAAGTGTAATAACGGACAACTAAGCTGACTAAAAACAGGGTGTCCAAATTAAAACCCATGTGACTCTCGAATGCTCCGTACACCCACTCCGCATACGACATGCGATGGAGGAAAGGAACACCCAGAGCCCCTCCCACCTGTTTATACACCTCTACGTTAAAGGGGCACTGAAGCAAGAAGTGGTCCATAGTCTCCACTTCACCCCCACACTCCGACCTCGAACAACCACGGTCATCCGCAGGACGATACTTCAGGTTACCCCTCACATAGAGCCTGCCGTGGAAGGCGAGCCAGGCCTGGTCCCGCAACTTCAGGGGGATCCGCTCCAGATTTATCAACCGCAAACCCTCCTTCATAACATGGCCCGGGCAATCTCTCAAGGCCAGCGGCGCATGGAAAGCAGATGCCACAATCCACTCACCCAGGAGCCTCCTGGGGAGGGACCGGACCACCTCCGCAGTCACATGCCACCGCCGGAGTAACTTCAGGCACGGGGCCACATAAGCCGGGAGCTTACCATGCTTGACCCGCAGGCTTCTCACTGGCCCGCCACTCTCCCAACTGTTCAGAAAGGGTCAAAACCAGATCCGGAACAGTCCTACCCATGCAGGCGGTCTCTCTGCCAGCATGTTACCAAAGTTATGTTTCAAGAACATCAGAGAGAAAAAGACCACCGGGGTTGACCATACCTAGGCCACCCTCCCACCTGGATGAGTAAGTCACGTCCCTCTGGACGAGGTTCAGCCGATTCCCCCATAACATCTGGAAGAAACAGCTATAGATCCTCTTATAGAGCGACTCTGGCAAGAGGCAAATGAAGCTGACGTATAAAAAGACTGGGAGCAGGAAAGTCTTGATCAAATCAACCCTTTCCCTCAAGGAGGGCCCTTCCAGCATCTCACTTTGACCTCGGCATCCGACAGCTTGGATTCCCAATTTTGCTTGCTGTAATCAGCAGAGCCAAAATTGATGCCCAACGCTTTGATGTTCGGCTGAGGCACCGGGAAGGTGTCCGGGAATGAGAAGCTCTCACCCTCCCTACCCATCCAGAGAACTTCACATTTGTCCTGATTGACTTTGGAACCTGATGCCTCGGCATACTGATCCATTACTGAAACCACCTCCTGCGCCTCCTCTGGTCCAGAAATTAAAACAGAAACGTCATCAGCATAAGCCACAACTCTCAAAGGCGGATCTCCAGTGGCACCCACCGGCACCCCACTCACCGCCCTGCCATCTAGCCTCCTGACGAAGGGGTCGATGGCAAAGGCATAGAGCAAGGGACTCAGCGGGCACCCCTGGCGCACCCCAGATCCAACCTCAAAGGGCTGCCCAACCCAACCATTCACCAACATGAAGCTCTCCGCCCCTTGGTACAATATCTTCAACCAGCCGATGAACCTCCCCTCCAAACCATACCAGTCCAGGAGATGCCAGAGGTACTTGTGATCAACTCGATCAAAGGCCTTTGCCTGATCCACCGCCAGCAAGTATTTTCCCCATCCTTCAGCCTTACATCGCTCCAGAGCCTCCCCGACAGCTAACACCGCTGTAAAGGTACTCCTGCCCTGGACCAAGCAATGCTGCTGACGAGAAGGCAAATTTTCTGCCACTGACGACAAGCGCCAGAACAAGATCTTCGCCAGAACCTTTCTATCGACATTGAGGAGACTGATGGGGCGCCAGTTCTCAATAGCCGAAGGATCCTTACCCTTTGACAGGAGGATAACTGCAGACTGTCTCATGGAAGAGGGGAGAGATCCCTGATCCAGACAGCTGTTATACACTTCCGCGAGACGAGGTGCCAGGCGGGATTTAAAAGCCTTACAAAATTCGGCTGTCAGACCGTCTGGCCCAGGAATCTTTTTAATGGCCAGACTATCAATCGCTCTGGACCCCTCTTCTGCAGTAATCTTCCCAGTCAAACTCACCAGAGGGACATCACTGTCCAGACCAGGCGTGGATTCCAAAAAGCTCGACATCCCTGTCCGGTCAAGGTGCTTCTCACTCAGTAAATCCGCATAAAAGGACCTGGAGACCTCCAAAATCCCTGACCTGGATTTAGTCAGGGACCCTGTACTATCCCACAGAGCAGAGATCGTCTTAACTGCTGCACTCTGTTTGCAATTCTGGAAAGGGTCGGGTGAGTGGTATTTCCCTTAATCCCTCTCCAGAACCAAAGAGGCACGCCGATCATACTGGAGTTTCCTAAGGAGAAGCTTCATCTCCGAGGTTGCCCCCGAATCTCCACCGCTAGAAACAAGGCGGTCGAGCTTCCTCCGCAACCGCTGGTAGGCGTTATACTGCCAAAAGAGGTCCAACAATTCCAGCCGCATGGACACGTCATATTCTCCAGTACCAACTGGAGCAATAAACGCGAAAATATCCGCGGCACGGAAGCCCATCTCTAATATGCGGTCTATGACCTCTCTCCTGCTAAGGGGGGGGCCCCCCTGACCATTTCAACTGAACAACATTTCGTCTTGCAGCGGAAGTGAGTAGGTTACCTGCCCTTGCCCGGGCCGATCCCACTGACCCCTGACCTCCCCTAACTGCAGCAGAGTAACTGAGCCCCGATCTAGCCCCAGGGGCACTCAACACCAAGGGGGCATGACCAGGGGAAGCCGCCACACCAGCAGCAGCAACTGAAGGGGCAGACGCTGATGAGCCATGACCTGGGGGAGCCCGGGGCTGGGGACCACCCATACCAGCAGGAGAACCCACCTGAGCCTGATCCGCAGGAGCCTGGACCTGAGAACCTGGAGCCCCCTGAGGAGAAACCGGGGACCTGCTGGTTGCACACGAGAGGCCACCATGCCCCCCAAAGGGGCGGGGCCTAGTGGGACCACCACCGGAGGGGAAACACCCTTAGCTAGGACTGTAGGGCTAACCTGCACCTCAGACAATTTTGCAGGCATTATACCCGCTACCCCAGTGTCCAGAACCATCTCACCAACACACTCAGCAGAGTCCTTCTCAGTCTCCCCTTCCAGTGGCTCCCCTGCCTTTGACAACACGTCCTTGGGGATGCGTTGCAGCATGACAAAGGCAGCATGCTCTTTCACCACCGGCTTAGCCGGCTTGCGGGGGATGAGATCACTTTCAGCTTCTTCCTCTGAGTCCTCGGACGTAAACCTGAAGTCGGCTCCACGCAGCTCTGCAACCGCCTCTGCCAGGAACTGCAATCCGCCCGCCATCTCCGCCTCCTCCACCTGGGTCCCCCAATCCACAGGCAGCTGCCCAGGGGGAGGGACTCTGATGATCCTGCGACCACGCTGTCTTCCATTTTATGCGCCATTTCCTCTGAGGGTGCTGCGGGCTCAGCCTGCCCCTGCTCGCCTTCCACCAGCAACTCCCCCGACAATTCCTCCACCGAGGAGGCCTCCTCCACCGGACCCCGCATCGCCGCAACACTGCGGCTTCTTGCAGCCTTAAATCTCGCTTCATTCAGATACTTCTCACTTAGGACGCCGCTCTTGCACTGCAGCGCCGCCACATACCTCCCCTGCTGTGACACACGTAGTTCCAGCACCAGTTTTCATGGTCTGCCGCTTTGTAGACCATACACGGTCGTAGGATGACCGGAGCTTCTTTAGCTCCAGAGTCAGCTTCTGGAGCTTGGCTTCCTCCTTCTCTACTAACCTGGCCCGAGCGGCCACACGGTCTCGGTAGGCAGAGTAAGCTTCCCCCTTCCTAGGGGCCATTCCCAGGTCCTCCACTGGTGGAAAAGAGAGGGTCGGTACTAAGCCCCTCCAGGGCCTTCTCCTCGCTGGACCCAGGCCCAGGATCCGCCATCCTGC